TTCTCGAACTTTTATGGGGTAGCTTTCTACTCGCAGAATATTTACTTCTATTCTTTCTTTCTTTTCTTTCTTTCTTTTTGTGATTTTCTCGAACTTTTATGGTTAGGCTTCTACTCGCAGATTTCTTTCTATTCTTTCTTTCTTATCTTCTTTGTGATGTTTCTCGAAACTTTTATGGTTCGCTTCTACTTCGACAGATTTCTTTCTTTCTTCTTTCTTCTTTTTTTTCTTTTTGTGAATTTTCTGAACTATTTATGGTTCGCTTCTACTCGCAGATTCTTTCATTTCTTCTTTCTTTTTCTTTTTGGTGATTTTATTCTCGAACTTTTATGGGTTCGCTTCTACTCGCAGATTCTTTTCTTTCTTTCTTTCTTCTTTCTTTTTTGTGAATTTTCTCGGACTTTTATGTTAGCTTCTTACTCGCAGATTTCATTTCTTTCTTCTTTCTTCTTTTCTTTCTTTTGTGGATTTTCTTTCGAACTTTTATGGTAGTTGCTACTCGCCAGATCTTTTCTTTCTTTCTTCTTTCTTTCTTTTGGATTTTCTACGGACTTTTATGGTTACTTCTACTCGCAGATTTGCTTTCTTTCTTTCTTTCTTTCTTTCTTTCTTTTGTGATTTCTGGAACTTTTATGGTTAGCTTCGTCACTCGTCAGATTTTCTTTCTCCTTTTTTCCTTTCTTTCTTTCTTTGGTGTGGGATTTTTTCTCGAACTTTTTATGGTTAGCTTCTACTCACAGATTTCTTTTTTCTTTCCTTCTTTCTTTGTGTGAATTTTCTCGAACTTTTATTGTTAGTCTTCTTACTCGCAGATTCTTCATTTCTTTTCTTTCTTTCTTTTCTTTTTTGTGATTTTCTCGGACTTTAATGGTTACTTCTACTCGCAGATTTCTTTCTTTTCTGCTTTCTTTCTTTCTTTCTTTTCTTTTTGTGATTTTCTCGAACGTTATGGTTAGCTTCTTCTCGCAGATTCTTCTTGTCTTTTCTTTCTTTCTTTCTTTCTTTCTTTGTGTTGATTTTTCTCGAACTTTTATTGGTTATAGCTTCTATCGCAGATTTCTTTCTCTCTTTCTTTCTTTCTTTCTTTCTTTTTGTGATTTCTCGAACTTTTATGGTTAGCTTCTTCGCAGATTCTTTCTTTCTTTCTTTCTTGCTTTTGTGATTTTCTCGAACTTTATGGTTCGCTTCTACTCGCAGATTTCTTTCTTTCTTTCTTTCTTTTTGTGATTTTTCTCGAACTTTTATGGTTAGCTTCTACTCGCAGATTCTTTCTTTCTTTCTTTCTTTCTTTTTGTGATTTTCTCGAACTTTTATGGTTAGCTTCTACTCGCAGATTTCTTTCTTTCTTTCTTTCTTTCTTTTTGTGATTTTCTCGAACTTTTATGGTTAGCTTCTACTCGCAGATTTCTTTCTTTTCTTTCTTTCTTTCTTTTTGTGATTTTCTCGAACTTTATGGTTTCGTTCTACTCGCAGATTCTTTCTTTCTTTCTTTCTTCTCTTTCTTTTTTTGTAATTTTCTCGAACTTTTATGGTTAGCTTCTACTCGCAGATTTCTCTCTTTCTTTCTTTCTTTCTTTTTGTGATTTTCTCGAACTTTTATGGTTAGCTTCTACTCGCAGATTTCTTGCTTTCTTTTCTTTCTTTCTTCTTTTGTGATTTTCTCGAACTTTTTATGGTTCGCGTTTCTACTCGCAGATTTCTTTCTTTCTTTCTTCTTTCTTTCTTTTTGTGATTTTCCTCGGACTTTTATGGTAGCTTCTTCTCGCAGATTTCTTTCTTTTCTTTCTTTCTTTTTCTTTCTTTCTTTTTGTGATTTTCTCGAACTTTTATGGTTAGCTTCTACTCACAGATTTCTTTCTTTTTTCTTTCTTTCTTTCTTTCTTTTGGTGATTTTCTCGAACTTTTATGGTTAGCTTCTACTCACAGATTCTTTTTTTTCTTTCTTTCTTTCTTTCTTTTTGTGATTTTCTCGGACTTTTATGGTTAGCTTCTTCTCGCAGATTTCTTTCTTTCTTTCTTTCTTTCTTTCTTTCTTTCTTTTTGTGATTTTCTCGAACTTTTATGATTAGCTTCTTACTCGAGATTTACTTTTTCCTGTGATTTTCTCGAACTTTATGGTTAGCTTCTTCTCGCAGATTTCTTTCTTTCTTTCTTTTCTTTCTTTTTTGTGATTTTCTCGAACTTTTATGGTTAGCTTCTACTCGCAGATTTCTTTCTTTCTTTCTTTCTTTCTTTCTTTCTTTTCTGAACTTTTATGGTTAGCTTCTACTCGCAATTTCTCTCTTTCTTCTTTCTTTCTTTCTTTTTGTGATTTTCTCGAACTTTTATGGTTAGCTTCTACTCGCAGATTTCTTTCTTTCTTTCTTTCTTTCTTTTTGTGATTTTCTCGAACTTTTATGGTTCGCTTCTACTCGCAGATTTCTTTCTTTCTTTCTTTCTTTCTTTATTTTCTCGAACTTTATGGTTAGCTTCTACTCGCAGATTCTTTCTTTCTTCCTTTTTCTTTTTGATTTTCTCGAACTTTATGGTTAGCTTCTACTCGCAGATTTCTTTCTTTCTTTCTTTCTTTCTTTTTGTGATTTTCTCGAACTTTTATGGTTAGCTTCTACTCGCAGATTTCTTTCTTTCTTTCTTTCTTTCTTTCTTTCTTTTTGTGATTTTCTCGAACTTTTTATGTTAGCTTCTACTCGCAGATTTCTTTCTTTCTTTCTTCTTTCTTCTTTGTATTTCTCGAACTTTTATGGTTGCTTCTTCTCGCAGATTTCTTTCTTTCTTTCTTTCTTTTTGATTTCTCGAATTTTATGTCGCTTCTACTCGCAGATTTCTCTTTCTTTCTTCTTTCTTTTTGTGATTTTTCTCGAACTTTATGGTTAGCTTCTACTCGCAGATTTCTTTCTTTCTTTCTTTCTTTCTTTTTGTGATTTTCTCGAACTTTTATGGTTCGCTTCTACTCGCAGATTTCTTTCTTTCTTTCTTTCTTTCTTTCTTTCTTTCTTTTTGTGATTTTCTCGAACTTTTATGGTTAGCTTCTACTCGCAGATTTCTTTCTTTCTTTCTTTCTTTCTTTCTTTTTGTGATTTTCTCGAACTTTTATGGTTAGCTTCTACTCGCAGATTTCTTTCTTTCTTTCCTTCTTTCTTTTTTGATTTTCTCGAACTTTTATGGTTAGCTTCTACTCGCAGATTTCTTTCTTTCTTTCTTCTTTCTTTTGTGATTTTCTCGAACTTTTATGGTTCGCTTCTATTCGCAGATTTCTTTCTTTCTTCCTTTCTTTCTTTCTTTTTGTGATTTTCTCGGACTTTTATGGTTAGCTTCTTCTCGCAGATTTCTTTCTTTTTCTTTCTTTCTTCTTTCTTTCTTTTTGTGATTTTCTCGAACTTTTATGGTTAGCTTCTACTCACAGATTTCTTTCTTTTTTCTTTCTTTCTTTCTTTTTGTGATTTTCTCGAACTTTTATGGTTAGCTTCTACTCGCAGATTTCTTTCTTTCTTTCTTTCTTTCTTTTTGTGATTTTCTCGAACTTTTATGGTTAGCTTCTACTCGCAAGATTTCTTTCTTTCTTTCTTTCTTTCTTTCTTTTTGGTTTTCTCGAACTTTTATGGTTAGCTTCTACTCGCAATTTCTCTCTTTCTTTTCTTTCTTTCTTTCTTTGTGTGATTTTTCTCGAACTTCTTAGCTTCTATCGCAGATTCTTTCTTTCTTTCTTTCTTTCTTTTTGTGATTTTCTCGAACTTTTATGGTTAGCTTCTACTCGCAGATTTCTTTCTTTCTTTCTTTCTTTCTTTCTTTCTTTTTGTTATTTTCTCGAACTTTTATGTTAGCTTCTACTCGCAGATTTCTCTTCTTTCTTCTTTCTTTCTTTTTGTGATTTTCTCGAACTTTATGGTTAGCTCTACTCGCAGATTCTTTCTTTCTTTCTTTCTTTCTTTTTTTTGATTTTCTCGAACTTTTATGGTTCGCTTCTACTCGCAGATTTCTTTCTTTCTTTCTTTCTTTCTTTCTTTTTGTGATTTTCTCGAACTTTTATGGTTAGCTTCTACTCGCAGATTTCTTTCTTTCTTTCCTTCTTTTTTTTGTGATTCTCGAACTTTTATGGTTAGCTTCTCGCAGATTTCTTTCTTTCTTTCTTTCTTTCTTTCTTTTTGTGATTTTCTCGAACTTTTATGGTTAGCTTCTACTCGCAGATTTCTTTCTCTCTTTCTTTCTTTCTTTCTTTCTTTTTGTGATTTTCTCGAACTTTTATGGTTAGCTTCTACTCGCAGATTTCTTTCTTTCTTTCTTTCTTTCTTTTTGTGATTTTCTCGAACTTTTATGGTTAGCTTCTACTCGCAGACTTTTTCTTCTTTCTTTCTTTTTGTGATTTTCTCGAACTTTTATGGTTAGCTTCTACTCACAGATTTCTTTCTTTCTTTCTTTTTGTGATTTTCTCGAACTTTCATGGTTAGATTTTTATTTTCCATTGACAAGTCTGAAGCGAAAGGTACCCGTGGACGCTGAGGTCCTGGCGAGGGAATGGTTAATTACTTCAAATTATCTCATTAACACCTGAGGTCATTAGCGGTGAATACCTTGTGGGATTAAACTGGGAGCTTCGTAGTCGTTGGCTTGTTAGTTACATTTTTTCGTCCTTTTGAATAGATTGATAAATTGCTCATTCTGTAGGAATGGTCGAAATATCTTTTAACTTGTTAGGTGGTAGATTCGTAGATAGGATTTTAGTGTTGATTTTAATGTTTATGGCGGTCTGGAGGGTCTGTGTTGGTGGGTAGAGCAGTGAAGAGCAAGAGCCATGTCAAAGTTTATTTCGCAAGTAAAAAAATAGAATGGCGCACGAGGCCTTTCCTCCCTCGGCGGAGAAAACAGGAAACTAAAACGTTTCCTGAAATCTCGAATCACGTGACTTTTTGTGGCTTTCGGGACTGTTATGGAAGTTTGGATTTTATGATTTTTTCTCAAAGAAAAATGAAATTTCGGTGGCGCGAAGGCCCCGCGACGGGGCGCTAGAGGTGGCTGAGGGCGTTCTGGCGGAGGACGTCCATGGTGTGGGCGGCGTCGTAGGGGCACTTGGCGTAGGTGCGGGCGCAGGCGGAGGCGGACTCGGAGGCTCGGCCGAGGAAGGCGGCCAGCTGGAAGGGCGAGGCGGGGCCGGAGGCGCAGTCGTGGGCGGCGAGGGCGGGGCTCCCGAACAGGGCCATGATGAGCGCCTCGTCGGCGGCCAGCTGGGCCTCGGGCGTGGCCGAGAGCTCGCAGACGAGGCGGAGGCCGCAGTTGGAGCGCTGGTCGAGCGATCCGGCGGCGGCGAAGAGGACGTCGAGGGCGTTTTGGGCGTAGGCGTCGGGAGCGGGGGCGGGGGCGGCCCTCCTGCCACGGCGGGAGGCGGCCTTAGCCTTGGCCGCGACCAGGCCCGCGGCGCCCAGCAGGACGGCGGCGCCCCGACCAGCGCCAGCGCCGGGTTTGGCGACGCCCACGCCGAGGGTGAGGGCCGTGGTGGTGGCCGCGGCCGCCGAGGAGGAGAGCACGAGGATCGGGGAGGCCGCGTGCAGGAGGCCGGCCGCCAGGGCCACGGAGAGCCATCGCTTCAGCTGCATCGCGCCTGAGGGGGGGGAGGAAGTCAGTCGCGTCGAAAAAGTCAGCTGATAAAGGATTTTGGAGAATGAGACACCAATGCCATTCGTTTGTTTCGTCAAACTTTCAACGACCAGAATATGATTAAAGCGAATCTGCCATGAAAAAAATGAGTGATTTGAATGCCATTATAAAAGCACGGTCACTTTTCATTCTTCCAGATGATGAGTTTTTACATTTGAGGCTTAAACAGTAGTTGTTTAAACATGAAAAGAAGCTGAAATCCTCAGCCCCGCCCACTCACTTGCACTCTGAAGTCAGTCCTGCGGTTCGGGCGGAGGCCTGGGTCGGGGAAGCTGTGATGCGGAGGGGCAGCCTCGCCTCCTTATATGCGGGCGTCGGCGAAGGGGGCGTGGCTCGGGGAAGAGTGGGCGGTCCTACGGGTCATGCACAAGGTCGCATGCCGCACGCCCGCCCTCAGCTCCGCCCACCTTTCCTCGCCCATGACCTTACTCCTCTTCCTGTAGGAGAGGAGCGCGTCCTTCCTGCAGGACTCGGAAAGGGGCGAGCAAGGTCTATATAAGTACTTGTATAGGCCTTGGCAGCGAGCGCGTGCTTGTGCCCCGATAAGGGTTATCGTCATGATTAGCGACTGTTATCTTATGAATAGTAATCCATTTCCTTTTTCGTAATTACTGCTACTACACACTCCTACCTATTGTAGCAATACCCATCCTAGTAGTATTGGTAGCAGCGTAGGAGGAGGAGGAGTGGTAGTAATAGCAGAAATAATAATGGTAGTAATAGTAGTAGTAGTAATGTAGTAAAGTAGTAATAGTAATAGGTAGAGTAATAGTAATAGTAGTAGAAGTAGTAAATAGCAGTAGTAGTAATGTAGTAATAGTAGTAAGAAGTAGTAATAGCAGTAGTAGTAATGGTAGTAATAGTAGTAGAAGTAGTAGTAGTTGTAGCACTATGAGAGACGTATTTAACGACGATTCTCACTCGAAAAGGCCGGAACACCTGAAAGGCTATCGGAAATTAAATGTTTGTTCTACTCTCATACAAGTCGTGTCCTCTACTTCGGCGTGAGAAGTGATCTCGTCATACCTGTCATGCTTAATTAAAGTGATCTCGTCATAAATGCCTTACTCTGCCATGCTTAATTAAAGTATCTGTCATTACCTGCCATGCTTAATTAAAGTGATCTCGTCATCCTGCCTTAAAGAAGTGATCTCGTCAGCATGCTTAATTAAAGGCTTAAAGGCAGACCCTCAGTGTCTGTTATGCTGCTGGGACATCATACGAGGCTTCTGAAGGCTGAGAACGCCGCTTTACACGTATGAAACATGTTTATCTTCTTGATTAAACTGGATGTGAATAGAATCGGTGTTCGGTTGTCGGGTATTGCCTTTGACGTTAGTTTTCTACGGAGATGTGACTTGTTCTCCTGTTTCCTGAAGGGCTATTTTGAGTTAAGTTTCATTCTTTCTTTCTTTTTTTGTTATTTTTCTTTCTTTCTTTTTTATGACCTATTTCGAGGGCCATTTTGAGTTAAGTTTCATTCTTTCTTTTTTGTTGTTATTTTTCTTTCTTTCTTTCTTTCTTTTTTTATGACCTATTTCGGCCAGTGTTAGAAATGAGGAAAATGTTGATGATTAGTATTGAGAAAATTCGAAAGGGGAGAGAAGGTCGGAGTTAAGTTTCATTCTTCCTTTTTTGTTGTTATTTTTCTTTCTTTTTTTTCTTTCTTTCTTTTTTATGACCCATTGCGGCCAGTGTTAGAAATGAGGAAAATGTTGATGATTAGTATTGAGAAATTTGAAAGGGGAGAGAAGGTCGGTGGCATAGCTAGAGGGGAGGTGATCAAAGAAGAATGTTGGGAATTTACTAAATTGTATGAAGAGATATACCACATTAGATGAATAATTTCCAATTACTTGATAAATGACTTTGGTGCTGAGAGTATACTGAGGGATGACAGTATAAACTTTAGACAGAAAAGATGATTTTGTAGTCACTGTAGACTGTAATATTAAACTACAAAAAGCGCACTTATTTTTTGTAGATTGTATTAATTTTTGTCCACAGATAATATATATTTGTACATTTTTGTAGGTGTGTATCCACCAGGATCTATGCTCCTGGAAAAGGCAGAGGAGAGAGAGAGAGAGAGAAGGTAGGGAAGGCAGGGGAGGAAAGAGAGAGAGAGAGGGAGAGACGGAAAGAGAGAGAGAGAGAGTGGAGGGAGAAACGGAAGGAGAGAGAGAGAGAGAGAGGAGGGAGGAAAGAAAGAAGAGAGAGGAGGAGGGGGAGGGAAGAAAGGCAAGAGAGAGCTAGAGCGAGAGAGAGAGGAGGGAGGGAGGGAAGAAAGGAGAGAGAAGGGGGGGAGGAAGGGAAGGAAGTAGAGAGACAGAGACATAGACTGAGAGAAAATATAATCAGCAACAATATAGGATATAATTCATGAATTTGCAAAGACAGAGCCAAATAATGACGAGGGATAGACCACCTGCCGAGCCCTCCTCTCATCTGTATACAAGATCACGCAATTTCACGTGAAATCTCGTCGTTCTCGATCCCTTTGTTTCTCAGAAACGGTGACGGTCGGGCGATCTGTCTCCGCACTCACTCATTTATCAATTCGTCTTTATGGCTGCGTCTGTTTCGTTGTGGTCGCTAAGTATGTTACATTTGCTTTAGTCCTCTTAAGTCGTTTAAAACATGGCCGGTCTGTGGCCATGATCAAAACGTCTTGATGTTATAGGGTAATTGATTTTAATTGAGGATGCGTTAAAAGGATTTTAGGTCGACTTTAATGGTTAAGGTTTGGAGGATCTGCATCAGTGGGTGAGGCAATGAGGGACAGTGTTTCATATCAAAGTTTATTTCGCAAGTAAAAAAATGGAATGGCGCGCGAGGCCTTTCCTCCCTCGGCGGAGAAAACAGGAAACTAAAACGTTTCCTGAAATCTCGTGTCACGTGACTTTTTATGGTTTTCGGGACTGTTATGGAAGTTTGGATTTTATGATTTTTTCTCAAAGAAAAATGAAATTCATGTGGGCGCGAAGGCCCGGGCGACGGGCGCTAGAGGTGGCTGAGGGCGTTCTGGCGGAGGACGTCCATGGTGTGGGCGGCGTCGTAGGGGCACTTGGCGTAGGTGCGGGCGCAGGCGGAGGCGGACTCGGAGGCTCGGCCGAGGAAGGCGGCCAGCTGGAAGGGCGAGGCGGGGCCGGAGACGCGGTCGTGGGCGGCGAGGGCGGGGCTCCCGAACAGGGCCATGATGAGCGCCTCGTCGGCGGCCAGCTGGGCCTCGGGCGTGGCCGAGAGCTCGCAGACGAGGCGGAGGCCGCAGTTGGAGCGCTGGTCGAGCGATCCGGCGGCGGCGAAGAGGACGTCGAGGGCGTTTTGAGCGTAGACGTCGTCATCGAGGGCGGGGGCGGCCCTCCTGCCACGGCGGGATGCGGCCTTAGCCTTGGCCGCGACCAGGCCCGCGGCGCCCAGCAGGACGGCGGCGCCCCCGACCAGCGCCAGCGCCGGGTTGGCGACGCCCACGCCGAGGGTGAGGGCCGTGGTGGTGGCCGCGGCCGCCGAGGAGGAGAGCACGAGGATCGGGGAGGCCGCGTGCAGGAGGCCGGCCGCCAGGGCCACGGAGAGCCATCGCTTCAGCTGCATCGTGCCTGCAGGAGGGGGGGGAGGGAGAGAAAGAGAGAGAGTGAGTTAGTCGAAAAGGTCAGCTGATAAAGGAATTTGGAGAATGAGACAATGATTGGGGGGGGGGGCATTGCTGTATGAAAAGGCTTTCCATATGATGACAATGATTCGTTTCCTTTAAGATCATCAAGGTATATAAGGACACATGCATATGGTGGAACATAACAGAGAAGGCTTTACACTATGAACCAGTGACACAGTTTGAACCCTTACTTGCACTCTGAAGTAAGATCTGCGATTCAGGGGAAGACCTCGGCCGGAAGAAGGCGTGATGAGGAGAAGGAGTCTGAGGCTGCCTTTTATACGCGTCGGCGAGGGCGTGAGGGCGGGGGCGGCGGAGGGGTGGGGCGAGGGCGTGCGTAAGGGGCGGGGCGTGGGCGGTCAGGAGCAAGGTCACGTGATGGGGGAGTCCATGTCCTTCCGCTTTTGGGTGATAACCTACGCAAAGTGTTTAGGTAAACGTAACTACGTTTGTGTGGCTTGAATATATATATATATATATATATATATATATATATATATATATATATATTATATATATACATATATATATATATACATATATATACATATATATACATATATATATATATATATATATATATATATATATAATATATATATATATATATATATATATATATATATATATATATATATATATATATATATTATATATATATATATATATATATATATGTGTGTGTGTGTGTGTGTGTGTGTGTGTGTGTGTGTGTGTGTATGTGTGTGTATGTATATGTGTGTGTGTGTGTATGTATGTATATGTGTATGTATATGTATATATGTATGTATATATGTATGTATATATCATATATTATATATCATATATAATTGAAGCAGAAAAAAGAAAGAAACAAACAAACACCAAATAATAATCCTATGAAAAAACAAGAATATAATTGAAGCAGAAAAAAACATGACGCAGCAAAGAGCCGGATTAATGAAGCTTAAGAGAGATATGCGGACAGGAAGGAGAGAGAGGAGAGAAGAGAGGAGAGGAGAGAGAGAGAGAGAGAAAGAGAAAGAGAAAGAAAAAGAAAAAGAGAGAGAGAGAGAGAGAGAGAGAAAGGCGATTGGGAGATGGGATCTTACGGAAGGAAGAAGAAGGATGAATGGAAGAAAAGATTGAAGGATGGAAGAAAGGAAGGAAAAAAAGAGGAAGGATAGAAGAAAGGACGAAAAGAAGGAAGAGAGAAGGATGAAAGAAAAGAAGAAGGAAATTTGGAAGAGAAAAAGAAGGGTGGGAAGGAAGGAAAAAAAGGAAGAGGGAAGATCTCCTCCTTCTCCCTCTTCCTATCTCCTAATTCTCCTCTTCTCCACTATCTCCTAATTCTCCCTCTCCCTCTTCCTCTCCCTCTTCTCTCCCCTCCAAACCATCTTCTCCACTATCTCCTAATTCTCCTCTCCTCTTCACCTTCTCTCTCTAATTCTCTCCCACTTCTCCTCCTCCAACAAACCATCTTCTCCACTATCTCCTAATTTCCCTCTTCTCCTCCCTCCAACAAACCATCTTCCATCAAGGTTTTCCCTCAAGTATGACCTACATACACGTCGCTCGTGAGATTCTACTTCGTCATCGCCTTCTGCTGACGGACTCGCAGGTCGTCTGAATGGAGGGGGCGGGGCTTCGGGGCATGAAAGAGAGAGAGAGAGAGAATGAGAAAGAGAGAGAGAGAAAGAAAAATAGAAAGAAAATGAGAGAAAGAGAGAGAGAGAGTGAGAGAACGAGAGAGATTGAGAGAGAGAGAGACGTGACTGGTGGGATAGAAAGAGACAGATAAAGAAAGAGGGAGAAAGGAAGAAGAGGAGAGATAGATAGAAAGAGACAGAGAAAGGGGGAGGTAAATAATAGAAAGAGACAGAGAAAGAAAGAGGGACAGGAGAGATAGATAGAAAGAAACAGAGAAAGAAAGACTGGGAGAAAGGAGGAGGGAGGGAGAGAGAAGAAAAAGAGGAGAAAGAAGTAGGGAGTAAGAGAAAGAGAGAAAAGTGGAAGTAGGAAGAACATAAGACAGACAGACTAACTCAACAGCCACTTCAAAATATGGCTCAGTAGGTAAGGTCAGTCCGCCAAGGTTCCCGAAGGAGTCAGCTGTTTCTGTCATTCACTTAGGCATCAGCTGTGAAATTATACTGAAGTCGACAATAGAAGAAGAGGAGGAAGAGAGGGGAAGGAGAGGGAGGAGGAGGAGGATGGAGAGGGAGGAGGAGGAGGATGGAGGAATAAGGGATGAGAAGGAAGAATTAGGAAGGGGCAGGAGGAGGAGGGAGGAGGAGGAGGAGGAGGATGAAGGAATAAGAGATGAGAAGGAAGAATTAGGAAGGGGGAGGAGGAGGATGGAGGAATAAGGAATGAGAAGGAAGAATTAGGAAGGGGGAGGAGGATGGAGGAATAAGGAATGAGAAGGAAGGATTAGGAGGGGGAGGAGGAGGATGGAGGAATAAGGGATGAGAAGGAAGAATGAGGAAGGAGAGGGAGGAGAAGGAAGAGGATGGAGGATAAGGATGAGGAGGAAGAATGAGGAAGGGGAAAGGAAGAGGTATAAGAGAACATGATCTGTCTTGTTGTCATATACTAGTTTTATTCATTCGTATACTTGGGTTGTAAGTTATCATTATTGTTATCATCGTTATCATTACTCCTACTGGTCTTCCTAACATTATTGTAAGAAACATTATTGTAATAATAATCACTATGATATGAAATTAGACAATGGTTGAGGTCACCGTCGAGAAAGGGGGGTGGGGTGGGGGGGTGGGTCAATGTAGTATTTTGTTCCAGTGAATCACTTTTTCTTCTCAACTTTCTCCCATTTCTTAATGGGGTTGACGTTGTGGATGCCTATTACGGCTCACTTCCAGTTAATTATTATGGAAACAAATATGAATACAGTCTGAAATATTTATAAACCGTAATAGCCAATGTTAGTATATGATACGACATTTTAGCAGATTAAATAGATGAATAAATAATCATTTTATTATTATTGTTATTATTATTATTATTATTATTATTTGTTTTTGTATTATTACCATTACTATTATCATTATAATTGATATTGGTATTATTACTATAATCATCACTACCATTGTAATCATTAATTCTATAATTGTGATCATTGATATTATAATTATGATAACGGTTTTCGTCGTCATCATCATCATCATCATATAACTTATTCCAAAATCACGTCATTGTT